TCTATATCCGTTATTGACATATGTGATTTTTATATGAGCTGACTGATTCCAATATAAGTTTCTAATGATTCTTATGTCTTTGCCATCTAACGCCGTATCTCACGTTATCAAATACCTTCTCATAATCTATGAAACATAAGAAGGCGTTTGTCTGCTCATCGAGGCATTTTTGGACTAGGAACCAGAGATGCTGTTCTCAATGCAGGTTTTAGTCTGCATTGAGAACAAAGCATCTATGGTTCCATTCCAATTTGCTTACATATTACAAATGTTATTTCATACAAATAAGCAAAATAATAAGTCTTTTATATATGTTTAGAGCGAATTGTTAAAAAAATTAATTTGTAGTTGTGAATGTGAAAATCATTAGACTATTTATTTTAGGTATGTTGACTTTGTCCGTATTCTTAAGGATTAATTTATTTGTTATCTAAATCATAAATAAAAAAAAGTTACCCTTTACTACGATCTTTCATTAATATTAAACTACTAATGGTATATCAATAGTACTGAAGTTTATATTAATTTTTATTTAGTGGAATTATTATGTATAGGTTGTTACGTCTCAGATGAAGCTTTTAAACGATAGAAATGACACAAAAATTAAAATTTGCCGAGAATACTGAAAAATTATGCAAATTCTTTATGGAACACGTATTTTTCATTAGATTGCAAGCACTTCTAGGTTTGACCATTTTTATCATTGAAATTTTTCTGTTTTGTAACAATTCTCAAGAGGAAATAGTTATGTTCTTAATGGTTTTCTTGACAAGATTTTTTGTAAGTATTTGCAAATTTAGGAAAAGTATTTTTTCCTAGATTAAGTAAAAATATGTAAGTTAAAATATTTTTTTTAATTATTTAATGTATTATTTTATATATATATATTTTTAAATATACACCATGATTCTTTTACTTAGCTTCCGATTAACTTCCGATATTCGAGCTATCATAAGTTGAAAATCGAAAATATCAATAATTAACTTTACTACAAATTTTAATGTGCCTTTAGCATAAATTAGTTAATTATTTTTAATCACTGATAATTTTTAAATTAAATTCGTGTAACAAAATCTAAAAATAATAATTACGTTAATCATATATTTTTTTGACTCTGTAACTCTAACCAGCGAGTATTTTATTGATCTTTTTTTAAAGTTTTATGATATGGAAAATAACAATAATCCATTATTCATGTTCTTTTGTCACTGTATATGTTGGCTATGCATGTCATTGTCTGCTCGTTTAAATACTTAAAAAGTAGCAACTTAACGGTAACCATATATAACCGGGAGTTTTTTTCCTGGTTCTTTGCTGCCATCAATATGTATATAAATGAAAAAAAAAACAATATGTATATAAATGGTTACCTACATCAGGGAGAATTGATCTGATTCTATTAGTTGGTGAGTACAGTGTATGTACATTCACCAGTTAATAGAATACTGAAATGTTCCTGATTTATCTAATCTGGACTTTTTTATGGGAATATGTTAAATAAAATGTTTATAAAACTCGACCAACTATTAACGACAACATGAAAGAAATGATTATGGCTGATTTTTGAAGTACAATTCCGCATGTTCCTTTTAACATAAAAAGATCTATTGAAAAGAGAATTAATTATTTTATGCAGTAAACAGGAAAGGAAGCATTTTGAGCATTTCATTCAATCTCGCTAATTTTTGTCACATAATTGTACGTTTATATCTAGTTTTAATTCTTTAATAGTCAAGATATGTTTTAAACATGTATCTTTTATTACCATTGAGTATTTTACTCTATATCCTTTAATTTTTGTTGAATTAACAAAAGCTATATCACAGCCACCTATATTATGTCAAATAATAAAGATTTACTGACGCAAAATCATAATAATGAAAATATCTAGGAAAATCTTTGTCTGGGAGATAGGCAACCTTTATAGTATTTTGAAGATATACAGATTGTTAACTGGACATTTACTCATAGGGGAACAGAATGACAACACTGCCTATTGAGAACGCATGCACATGCACTTATAGGGTTTTATGCCGACTCGTACCGTCGCGCGTCGCGTCGTCTATCGACGAGCGGGCCGAGGATGCCATATTTCAACCATAAAGCTCTTGCCGCGAGTAATAAATAAATTAACAACCTGTATAAATTCTCCATTGAATAACTTTTAAGGTAAAATTTTAATTTGGTTTAACATATATTAGTTATTGGAATTAAATATTAGGCTATACAAGATAAATTACAATTATTTAGATAGCTGTTACTGAAATTTAAAATATAACCCATCAAAAACATATAGAATGTAAAAAAATGCCAAGTCTCGCAACACAATTCCTCCGCTATAGAAAGCTGTGAGATCTCATGTAAAATCAAGTCAATTTATTTTACTTAGTCTCTCTTTAAGCACCTATTCAACAATTTTGATATAAATTGTTAGTATCAATATTAGTCATCTTTATTTCTATAATAATTATAATGACTTGGCAATGGCATGCACGGCACCATAATTATAAAAAAAAATAATCTACTAAGAATAATCAATTTCGATTACTAAGTAAATCTAAACGGTGCACTTAAGAATAGAGTTTTTTAATTACTATAGAATATAATATCGTGCAATTGCCAAATGTCGAAATTAAAGAAATTTGACAAGCGATAATGCATAAACTATGAGGGATAATTACTAGATATTTTGGTAACCTAGCCAGCTATAGTATGTCTTCAAGTGTAGTAAAAATTACTATTTTTGCTTTATCCACAACGAAGTTACAGGGTGGTCAAAAGTGTTGCTAATAACTTCGAGAAAAGGATGGATTCATATCAAGGATAGGAATCATCCTATATATATATATATTTATATAAAATGCTTATTTTCTTCATTAAATAATAAATACGTACTTATTAACCTTATTGTAGGTAAATTAAATAAAAATAACCTGTTATAAATTTAAATAAAGTCCATAAACTGATGTCGATTTTGGAAATAGCTACTAAGTGTCACTAGAAAATTGCCATGGCGACACCAGCCATCTTGATTACAATTTTATTGAGAAATCGCTTTTTATTCAAAATCTGCGCCAGATAAGTATAGGAAACCCTAATATAGTTTGAAAGAGCATTTAAATCTGCTTCGACTTATTTAAAAAAATACATAGTGTTGTATTTGAAATGACGAAGTTCTTATTTAAAACAGATATTTAAAATAGACCAGCAAATTTTGATACCCCTGTATACATTTACAAAAGCAATAAAAATGTTTAGTAAAGTTTATTTCTCTGGCTTAAAAGTCATCTCAAGAACTAATTCCGAAAAGTAATGTACAGGGTGTTGACAAACTCTTTTATTATAGTTTGCATATTTACATATCTCTAAATATCTCAAAAACCAAAACTTTTAAACATATTGAATCCTTATAATAAATGCATTATTTTATGTCCAGGAATCCAAAAATGAAATAAAATACCGGGTGTTCAATAAGAAAAAACATAAATTTGGTATGGATCTAAGTTCTGATACACCCTGTAAATTTTGATACCCTGATACATAATTTAAATTATGCACATTGCTTTCCCACATATACCCATAAAATATTTTGGTTCTACATGTTTCCGTTTTCGTATAATCAACCGAGGCGAATGAGGTGCGCCACCCTGTATTTTATATCAATTAAAGTTTGAGTTAATCGAGGGCGCGATATATTCGGCGCCGGCCTGACTAACTGGAATTTAAATTTCGCGCTGGGGATTCAGGTGGTAGCTCTGCTGTAAAAATGTCAAGTTGGCGCATTTATTTATTTATTTATTTTCAGACATTGTAATTCGTTTTGAGACTTTAGTTTTGTATTACGATTTTTGGTTTAAATAAATACTGTTGTGATACTTTAAGCCTAAAAATAAAAATGTTTACAAGGAGACCTACTCGAACATTGTTCTTTTTAGAACCATTTTTTGTGCGAAGTGTACAAGACAGCTTAATAGTCGTAAAAAAACTCATCGCAACTTTATTAGAATATTTTGAACGGGAAAGCGGTAGTAATGGCCCTTTATATCCCTTAAGTGCTGTTAAGAGGGTGAGTTTTGTTGATGTAAATAATAACTGTTTATATATTTATAATTAATTTATTTTTGTTTCCTAAAATATTTTGATTAAAAGAAAATATGTAAAAGTGGGCAACGCTGAGCCGGTCAAGCTCAATCACGTATGAACTGATAGCATAAATAAAAGTTTATTTGGTGAACTGTAGGTAATATACCTAAAAGGAAATAAGCTGGAATGATTTATTGGATAGCTAACAATTAATAAATTATATTTTTATTAATAATTGTATGTAATAGGTATTAATCAAAAATAAAGTAGCAAATAAACAAAGCAAAGGCGGCAGAATCTAATAGATTTGTTTTAAACCTATTTGGTTTACGCTGACCAATGGGACAAATTTCAAAAAAGATTCACATATTTTAATTTATTATTAAGTCATCAGTAGTATCACTGGTAGATATAAAAAACATTTTTGGTAAACTCTGTCTCAAATAGTTTCTGAAAAATAAAATTATTTTTTTAAAAGGTCTGATTAAATTAATATCTCCGAAATTAAAGTTTCAAAAAAAGTCATACTATATCTACAAATTCATTTACCCACTAGTAGATATAAAAAACATTTTTGGTAAACTCTGTTTCAAATAGTTTCTGAAAAATAAAATTATTTTTTTTAAAAGGTACGATTAAATTTATATCTCCGAAACTAAAGTTTCAAAAAAAGTCATACTATATCTACAAATCCATTTACCCACTAGTAGATATAAAAAACATTTTTGGTAAACTCTGTCTCAAATAGTTTCTGAAAAATAAAATTAATTTTTTTAAAAGGTCCGATTAAATTTATATCTCCGAAACTAAAGTTTCAACTAGTATACTACTAGTCTACTAATATAATTAATTTCAAATTTTAATTTCGACCACCTTTATTACTGAAAGGCTGAAATCTAATTTTATTTTATTTTCAGTTATTATCGGCTCTCATAGCTCTAGTAACTACAACAAAAAAAGTTCTTGATTATAGCAATATGGTTAAAACATTGTTTCCAAGATCGAAAGAACAAACAAAGAATGGAGAAACATATCACATGGTGGGATATTTTGTGGATAGAATTTTTCATTTTATATATTTAGACTGTTGTATAATAGTTTTAATTCTCACTTTTGGAGGTACGTTTTATTGTATTGTAATAATTAATTTAAAATTTTCTGACCTATCGAGCTATTTGCATATACATCTTGGAACTATACGCATAGTAAAAAGACATACCTAATATCATTACATGTACAATACTAATGGTAAATACCATACTATCGATAAAAAAAGGCGTCAAAGACGGCTGGGGAATGACATTCGATGATAATTTTAGCGAGCTCAAGACATCATTTACTTATCCGTACTCTTTTCTATATTTTAATTGCCAGTTAAGTAAGTCGGTCTTAAAAAGGTTGTAAATGTTTATATCGAGTAAAAATGATTTTTAAATGTTGTAATTTAATTATAATTATTGTTAGTTCCCAGTAGTTAATATGCAGATAAAAAAATCGTGGGTGTTTGGGAAGGCTTGAAAGGAAACAATGTTTTTGCGACGTTTTGCGACTTTATTGTCGCTTCTTCAGGCACCAAAACATATATTAATCCACATTATGCCTACAAGCATTCATGGCGACTCCAACCGCCAACACTAAGACACATACAGACGAATCGAACAGAAACTTGACAGGTATTCTTTGGCCCGATATACACCGATGCTCGGTTTGTGTCGTACTCTTACTTGTTTTGGTGCCTGAAGAAGCGACAATAAAGTCGCGAAACGTCGCAAAAACATTGTTTCCTTTCAAGCCTTCCCAAACACTCACGATCTTTTTTATCTGCGTTGTAATTTAAAATTCGAGAAAATATATTATTTTGGAAATAGATTTGTGTGCCTGGAAACGTTCTACCATTTTTTAATCTTTCTATAGTTGATGTTAATATTTGACAAGTTTGATGTCAATTTTTAGTAAATGACGTCTAGAGATTGACCTCGGCAAAATTATTACCGATTATCATACCCCAGCCGTTTTAGTTTCCTTTGTTTTTTTTCTGCTGTACTTTATTCATTTTTGTAAGAATAAAAATTCCATATTTTTATACCGGGTGCACCTCAAAAGTGGCTCACCCCCTATAACTTTTTTATTTTTTCAGATAAAACAATGAGATTTGGTATTCTAGTATAAGACATAAATTAGAATTGATTGACATATTCAATTATTTTCGGCCACTTCCGGTTTCACGGGAAATGACTACAACTTTTGAATTTTAAGTGGCACCTTCAATATTTTTTTACTTTATTCGATAGAAAATGGCACTCTGAATAGAATGACATATCATGTCAACTTTTGACATTTTCGCGTATAGTTTGTTTGAAATTGTAACATGCGGTCCATAACGACAATTTCATTCGAAATACCAAGTGTATGATATTAAATTAATCGTAAAAAAATCGTATGCTTTTTCCAAATATGCTAATGAGCCAGCTTCTGTGGAGCCAATATATTATTATATCATTCCATTTGAAAAAATTGAGAATGATTAAAAATACGATTTGGGCATCTTTTAACCGGCCAGGACAAGACACTAAAAACATTAGACGATCAAAATAATTTTCCAAGGCTCCTTGAATAAAAATTAGTGTTTTTATCACAGATTTCTGTTATAGCGATGTTAAATGTCAAAAGTTGACATATGATATGTCATTCTATTCAGAGTGTCATTTTCTATCGAATTAAGTAAAAAAAAATACCGAGAGTGTCGCTTAAAAATCAAAAGTTGTAGTCATTTTCGGTGAAACAGGAAGTGACCAAAAACAATTGAATACGTCAATAAATATTAATTTATATCATATAGGCAATTCAAATTAAGATCGCAGCGCCATAGCGGCGACAACTCGTACTTATCTATGGGCCATTCCGCATCATTCCGCCATTTATTTAATTGCTGTTAATTGTTTTCTTGTGGTTTGCGTTGTGTGTTTGGTGTCTGTTTTCGAGTTTTTATAGTTGGTTTTGGTCAGTTTTGTGATTTGTGAACATTTTTTATTTGTTAAAAGACTTCGGTTTTCATCACGCGATTGAGCATTTTGGAATATATGCGGTATTTGGACGGATCCACGCATTCCAAATGTGTGGTTGAAAGGGAAAATGTCCTTAATGCAGGGCATTTAATTTTGGTTGGAAAAACCGAATTCACAAATGACTGGATTAATGTTTATGGCTTGTGTTTACAATCCAGTGCCATTAATTCGGATCCAATGAAATTAAGGGAACTTTAACCACTGAGGAAGCCACTGTAAAGATTAAAGAAATGCATTGTTCTTGTAAAGCCGGTAACAGTGGTAAATGCAAACATGTTTCGGCCGTTCTTGTAAAATGTGTCAGGCAAAATCAACATTTTTAGTTTTATTTTTGAGTTTGATTGCTATTTATTTGTATTTTGTTTAGAGAGGACATTGAGAGTTTAAAAAAAATATCTCCAACTGACATAAAATGTGTTTGGTCAACACAAAAGGTAGTTACCAAAGAGCGATATGAGCCTGTTCCTGTAGATGAAATGCCCTGTTTTATAGACGAGGTAAAACATTCCAATATTGAAACGGATGACGAAGGAATTAGGATGGATTTTTTTTTCCAAAACTTGCCAAACTCTGCTATGTACATGCACAGTGTAGTAACTATAGTTAATTAAATAAAAGATGTGTGTCTATATAATGGTAGTTATTTTATGTAAATAGGTATAAAGTAAAAATATATTGCATGACTAAAAATAACATGCAAAAAAATATATGTATACTATTTAAAAAAAAGTACCAAACAGGTAAAATATCAGTGCCCAATAAATCGTTAATAATAATGTAATAAGTTGTTATAAGTTCACATAATGTCAACATTTTTCAATGCCTTAATTCAAATTTTTCTTCGATCCACCAGCTCTTTATTTCCAAGTTTGGTTTCCACAACACTTTCGACAATCCTTCCTTTGGAAACGAATCCCGGGGTTTTTCTTTGCCCAAGAATTACACTTTGGCACACAGCAATAATGATTCATATTTATTTAATTTCAAAACGAAAAGCACAACATAAAACACAAAGAATAAACGGGAAATAAGAGTCGTCAACTTCGATTTCCAAACCTAAACAATGCAAATCAATAAAAGGAATGGCCCATACGATAGTTCCAAAATCCGGGCATAGAGTGCGTATCGCTTAGCATGAATAGCGTATACTAACATACCAAATCTCATATAAGGGTAAGCCACTTTCGAGACGCACCCGGTATATTATTTTAGTCGCATATAAAAGCACCTCTTAAGTACCTATTGACGCAGAATTATTGATTCAAAATCACATTTGATATTTATATTTAACTGATACCTACATTTCTGTTATTTTAGATGCAAGGAACAAAACACCCATTCTCGTATACATACATCAGAACTATTATTCTGTATATAATGTAGCGTTGTTAATGCATTTAATTTGGGATATAACTGGTTCAATAGCATTAATTACCATGTGTCAGTCAGCATTAGTTACAATAATATATCCTTTAATACAGGTATAACAAAGAACATATCGGGCTGATGTATATTATATCTGGTATGCGTTTTTTATGCATGGTTTATGTGTGGATTATAAATCCTACTCGTCCCTCTGACAGATCTTCATATCCTTTGAATTGAAATGGTGTCCTGACTATAGTGTTAACTGGCTTTCTCCTCTTCGTCGCACCTCGCTCAGGCCTACGATGTCCCATTTTATGTTCAGGAGGTCTTCTATTTCTATTAATTTTTGCTCCGATAGTAAAGTTCGGGTATTATAGGAAGCTATATATTTTGTCGGGGTTTAAAATGCGAATTTTTGCCTCCTCCAGATCCGATGAGGCAAATTTACAGCATTAATTGCAGATAATCATGATTTAAGTCAAAAATATAGACTTAAGTTATAAAAGCGACTTAAATAACGTTAAATTTATCTAAATCTTTACAAAAATGGCTTGATTTGAAATAAAATGATTTGAGTCATTTGAACTTTATGTTAAAATTGACTTAAGATTTAAATCACTTTTATTTTAGAAATGACTTAAGACTTATGATTTAAGTCTTTTGAAAACTCACTTGTTGTAGGTCTGCTCGTTTCTATGAAATATTCGTTCCGCAGATACCCATCTCTGTTACGCCAAGTATAGCGTAACAGGAAGATATAAAAATTAATTTGGGTTAATTTTATAAAATTAACTCAAGCATTTTATTTCAAAGGTGATGAAAAACTTAATCTTTTCCATAATATATAACATTGAAAAAATGTTTACGTTTTATAATCCACACATATTTGATTTTTTTTTATTTGATTTTATAAAGTACCATATTATCGAAAAAATGGCATCAAAGGCGGCATTCTCTAGACGTAAGTTACTAAAAACTGACATTATCATCAATTGTCATTTTCCAGCCGTCCTTGACGCCGTTTTTTCGATCTTATGGTATATAATATTAACTGGATATATGCATAATTCTGACTGGATGACCTTTTTAGCTTGACTTATTCATCAATCATATGAAAGCTAACAGAAAATTAAATTTAGGAACAATATCTAAATGGCCCACACTGTTATGGAGCGAAAAATATCAGAAAGTAATTTCCAATGAATTACACGGAATATATATTGATCATCTCAAGTTCCTACTGTACGCTATACTATAATCGTCATTTTAAAAATACTTTTAGTAGTAAAAAGTAAATTTAAAGTTAATTAAATTAATTTTTATATATAATCTATTTTTAAGTAACAAGCCACGGGCCAATTGTGTTGACTTTTATTTCAATGATTTCACAAAAACTATAAATAATATTTTCCTTTTAAGTTTACTTTAGCATTAATGAATCAAATATTTTATAATTGAATTATTTTTTTAATTAACTTAAGCTTAGAAATATGTAATACTCTGACTGAACTTACTAACCCTTTATATTTAGATCCAATCTTTCTAGATATGCCAAAACACTTAAATCGTGCCCTTATGTAAAATGTGTTGGAGGACTACTTATGTACTGTGGCGCATCATGGTTGCCAATAGGAATGTTGTGCGCCGTGCAGATTAGTTTGGTAAGGAGCCGGTTTCAAAATAAATTCAAAATATTTTAGATCTCATTTGGTAGAGAATATTTTTTGAATACTTAGTATTGAATAATTTGGAGGCAAAAAGTGATTCAGAGAAAAAAAAACGTTAGAGCTCAAACGCAGTGACGACCAGGGCCCGAATTCTGTAACTTAGAAAACGCTAAGCGCTTTTAGACGCTCAGCGTATATGACGTTAATTAGCGCGCACTTAACTACCGATTTGGGTATTCTCATCTGACGAGCTTAGCGTCTTTACCCATTGCACTAAGCGATTTGTAAACGGCTATCTTAAAGGATCGTTTTGCTTGAGGAACTGTCAGTAAAAATAGAAAAAAATGTGATTTTGCGCGTTCACTTGCTCTCTAGTGAAAACTCTTTCTTCTTCTATAACTTCCTCAATAAGTGGGTAATTGATAATTTACGACTTGGCAGTTATAAATATTGTTCGAAACATCGAAAATGCTGAGAAGCGTCTTCAACATTATCCTCGTAATTAAGAATAATGACATATATTGGCTTTTCTTCCTGTTTCTTGTTGAGTTGCGGTTTTTATTTGTTTTCATGTTTTTTTTTTCTCCGATGTCACTTTTTGCCTCCTGCTTTTTGGTGGTAATATCCCCTACTAAGTAAGGTTTAGTTTGTTCTCAAATTCTGTTAATAGAAGACTTTATTTTAACGGCCAATAGTAGAGGCAATACTCGATTGATCCAATTTTTATTCTATGAATATACTACACAATTTATATGAAAAGTTGAGTATGAACATATTTTTTTTCAAAAGTCACAAAAGTATTAATTTTTGCGACGTGATTGACAATATAAAAAAGACATTTTAACTGCCTAGGCATAAAAGTACAAGTACACGGGACGTACAGTTTATCGCCGAATCCGAACGGCACTATTTGAGAGGCTGTACAAGGCAAATATACTCAAGGTTTTAATAAAGTTGGCTCCTTAATATAAGATCCTATATTTTTTTTTTATTAAAGTCCGTTAAATTCTAGTATTGAATATAAATCGAGCAAGTCTCCATAGTACGGTGTTCTGCGGAAACTACCAAGGAATTTCACTACTGGTTATCGGAGGAATAGTTCTCGCAAGAATTATGTCAAACCGCCTTCACCCACATATAGAAAAAATCCTCCCAGAATCGCAAACGGGCTTTCGCACCAACTGCGATACCGTTGACTGCATATTCTCCGTCCGCCAACTACAGAAAAAAGTAAAGGAATAGCAGAGTAAACTTTATGTTGCATTCACCGACCTAACGAAAGCCTTCGACTCTGTAAACAGAGATGCACTTGGGCAATTATGCAAAAGTTCGGAGTACCCAACAAATTTCTTACAGTGTGTAAAAGCCTCCATAACAGCAAGTCGAGAGTGTCACATCATGGATCACTGAGCAATCTCTTCCTGACAAATATAGGAGTTAGGCAGGGATGTGTCCTAGCTCATCTCCCATTCAACATATTCATGGCAGGGCTCTCTATTATAGTAGACATACATACATACATACCGCCATTACTCGCTGACGAGTATTTGACACGCATCAGAAGATGGTCACGCAAGGTGTTTTCTTTCATGAGCTTTTCTGTGACTGAAAAGCCCGATACGTGATGTTATCTGTCTACCGCACTCCAGACATTCAAAAATCTCATTGCTTTGTTGCCTCTTTACTTTTTGGTTGTCGCTCTTACTGACTTTACAATTCTTCTCCATTCCGTTCTATTGTGAGCTGTCTCTTCCCAATCATTCTGCTTGTTAATTCCCTTTAAGTTTTCGTGAAAAATATCCTTGAACCTTTTGAGTTGTCCACCCGGCCTCCTCTTACCCCCTACAAGCTCACCGTAAAGCAGAGACTTTGGAATGCGGTTTTCTTGCAATCTGCATACGTGACCAGCCCATCTTAAGTGGGACTTTGTAATCATGACTTCAATACTCTCGCAGTTAGCTTTTTCAAGGACCGATACGTTTGAGAGATGATGGAACCATTTTATTCTTAAGAGTTGTCTAAGATGTCTCTGTTGCAACTTGTTTAATGCGTTCATTTGTCGGCGGTACGGCACCCAGGTTTCGCTTCCATATAACATGGTGAGAATTATTATCGCTCGGTATACCGCAAGTTTTGTTTTTGTGCTCAAGTCATGATTGTAGAAAACCCTGTCTTTTAATTTCCAGAATGCTCTTGAGGCGCTGCTAATCCTGTGCTGAATTTCACAGTCGATACTGGCCTTTTCCGAACTTCCGAGGTAATTGAATTCCGCTACATATTCCAACAACTCATCTCCGATTTTTATAGCATTGTTGTGATCTTCCGGGGGAGTGCACATGATTTTAGTTTTATCGATGTTCAGCTTAAGTCCCTAGACCTCGTATGCCCATTTCAGAATCGATATTGACCTTTTCCGAAATCAAACTGCCGAGGTAATTGAATTCCGCTACATATTCCAATAGCTACATATTCCAATAGCTTCTACATATTCCAATAGCTCATTCTGTTTTTGCCCTGAGTCTTTTTATGTTGAACAGACCGCCGTCGTATCTGTATCTAATGCCCAAACCTCTCTCCTGCAGTTTGCTGTCCACTATAATGGAGAGCGCTGCCATGAATATATTGAATAGGAGAGGCGCTAAAACACATCGCTGCCTAACGCCAGTGTTTGTTAGGAAGGGATGGCTCAGTGATCCATGATATGACACTCTTGATTTGTTGTTATTATGGAGGCTTTTACACACTGTAAGAAACTTGTTGGGTACTCCGAACTTTTTCATAATTGCCCTAAGTGCATCTTTGTTCACAGAGTCGAAGGCTTTTGTAAGATCGACGAATGCAACGTAAAGTTTAGACTGCTGCTCTTTTACTTTTTCCTGTAGTTGGCGGATGGAGAATATGGAATCGACGGTACCGCGGTTGGTGCGAAAACCGGTTTGCGATTCTGGGAGGATTTTTTCTATATGTGGGTGCAGGCGGTTTGACATAATTTTTGCAAGAATTTTTCCTCCGATAGCCAGTAGTGAAATTCCTCGGTATTTTCCGCAGGTCTGATGCACTTCCTTAAGTGATTTTTTTCTATATGTGGTTGCAGGCGGTTTGACATAATTTTTGCAAGAATTTTTCCTCCGATAGCCAGTAGTGAAATTCCTCGGTAGTTTCCGCAGTCTGATGCACTTCCTTTGTTCTTAAATAAATTCACTATATTCGCGTTGCAAAAGTCCTGAGGTACCTCTCCGCTTTCCCATATGACACCAAAGAGAGCCTTAAGATGACCAATAAGTGCTTTACTTGCACACTTATAGATTTCCGCCGGAATCGCGTCACAACCAGCTGATTTATTAGTTTTAAGCTGTTTTATGGAGTCCTTTATTTCCTGTTATTGGAATGTCTAATACATCGAGGCTGTTATACTGAGGTATTATGTTGAGTGCTGCCATATTGGGGTTGTTTTCTTGGTTAAGAACATGACTGTAATGCTCTTTCCAGCGGTTTCTGATTTGCTCTTCCTCTTTTGGAAGTTCGCCATTTTGTGCCATGATTGGGCATCTTGCAGTCTTAGTTGGAGTGTATACTTCTCTTACAGCCTCGAAGAATTTACGATAGTCGTGATGCGTGGCATACTCCTGAATCTGACTAGCTTTTGCGACCACCAGTTATCCTTTAGTTGGCGCAGATTTCTTCGGAGCGTGTTGTTGGCTGCCTTAAAGTTGTCTGCCAGTCTTGGATTGTGTGGATTTGCAGTGACGGCTTGATGTGCTCTATGCTTTTGTTCCAACAAAGCCTGTATATGCGGTTGATTTTCGTTAAACCAGTCTGGTTGTTTCTTTTTGTTGGATTTTCCCAGTACTGTTTCGCTGGTTTTGTGAATCGCATCTCTTAGTTGTGTCCAGCCATGTTCAGCATCCACGATTGAGATTGAAGTTATCGGTGGAAGTGATTCTTTGATGGCTTCCCGGAGGGCGTCGGCGGTATCGTTGTTCTCTAGACCCCGTACGTTCAATCTGGTCATGTAGGTTTGCTTTTTACAGTGTGGATGTTTGGGTTTTAAGTGGATTTTCATTTTTGAGATTAAAAGTCGGTGGCCAGTGTCGCATTCGGCATCTACTCTGGCTTTTGTGAGACTGACATCTTTTAGGTGCGTCCTTCGAACGATTACGTGGTCCAATTGGTGCCAATGGCCTGATCTCGGATGTTTCCAGGTGCCTTTAAATTTGTCCTTCAGCATGAACCACGTATTGGTGATGCAAAGATTATACTCTGTGCATGTTGTTAATAAGCGTTCACCATTGCTATTTACACTTCCCATTCCATGTTTTCCCAATACGTCAGGCATATTTCCTGTTGTTTGCCGACACGGGCATTAAAGTCACCTAGCAAAATGATTCGTTCGTGCTTTGGAATTTGTTGGAGTATATTTTGCAGAGCTTGGTAAAATTTATCCTTATCCTGAATTTTAGCGTCTAGGGTAGGAGCGTAGGCACTTATGATGTTGACGTAAGTTTTGTCTGATATGGGGTAC